AAGATTTGCTAACATTTCTGCCATACATTAAATTAGCTTATGAAATATTTTATTGGTTTGCTCATCATTCATTGCTAATGCATAGATATTATATATATATATCTATAGATATAGATATAGATGTATACATAATTTGTGTGCACACACACTAGGGTACTTCAAAAAGTTCTTGTCTGTGAACTTTTGGAAGTACCCTCATCCGTGTGTGTGTGTGTGTGTGTGTGTGTGTACAGGCAAGGCAAAGGGAACCACACCCCTTGGCACTTAGTTCTTCCTCAAGGAGGCTGTAGGGTGGGATCTCCTGCAAGTGGACACTGGGATCCCTGGAGGACCAGGGGCTGCTTAGCAGTTATCTCATTTCACAGAATAAGGCCGGGGTGAGAGAAGGGACTTATCTACAGCCCCCAATACTGGTCTTACATTTAATACCTAATGTCAGTGTTTTCTTTCTGTTTACACTTGTTCTCACTCTAGGGTGACAGCTCTCACAAAGGAGTCCTGGAGCAATGTCTTTGGTAGTTTTGTACTCACAGGAACTCTTATTAATGATACTGAAGACTTTTTTTTNTTTTTCTTTGATTCCTTTGGGGACACATATTTAAAACAACTTGCCTCGTCTACTGCTTCAAAAGCTGTCACAGCTATAGACACCGCTTCAGTTTTTTAGTTTTAATTAGAAACTCGTCATTTACACTTTTTTGAACACAGCTGGATGTGTTCTTTCTTCCTGGTTGGTATCCCTATTATACAACCATTTATTTGAGTACATATTAACGAATAGAAACTGGGTGAGATCATTGTGGATTATTGGATGTAATTTTTATCATCTTCTGCTATTTTGTGGGTTATATATTGCTTTCACTGCCACTAATTTCATCAAGGGAAAAAGTGTAAATCATAATGGTAGAACTAACTGTAATTCTCATGAAAATTGTTGGCGTTTTCTTAGGATCCACTGCTTTTTTGATCTACAAATTAGGTTCTCTAATTTCTAGTTTACGTTCCAATACTGATTTTGTTTACTGTGCTGACCATTTGAACATTTGTGTAAAATGTTATAAAAGAGTACATGAAGATGCACCCAATTATTATCTAATCCCCCTACCAAAAAATGTCATCTCATCGCCTTGACAATTGATTCCAAAAAACTCAAAGAAATAGTTAACAGTTAATACAGTTTCCCCTTTTTATTCAGTAGTGAAAAGATTTGCTAACATTTCTGCCATACATTAAATTAGCTTATGAAATATTTTATTGGTTTGCCCATCATTCATTGCTAATGCATAGATATTATATATAGATATAGATATAGATATAGATATAGATGTATACATAATTTGTGTGCACACACACTAGGGTACTTCAAAAAGTTCTTGTCTATGAACTTTTGGAAGTACCCTCATCCGTGTGTGTGTGTGTGTGTGTGTGTGTGTGTGTATACAGGCAAGGCAAAGGGAACCACACCCCTCGGCACTTAGTTCTTCCTCAAGGAGGCTGTAGGGTGGGATCTCCTGCAAGTGGACACTGGGA